CACACACACACACACACACACACACACACACACACACACACACACACTCACTCACTCACTTACTTACTCACTCACACACCACACACTCACTCACTCACACACACACTCACTTCACACACACACCCACACACTCACTTACTCACTCACACACCACACACACACACTCACTCACTCACCCACACACACACACACACACACACACACACACACACACAGGCACAAACCAGTACGACCGTACACAGGACTATCTTGAGCCGATGAACCCATTTTCCTGATGTCTGACGCTCTATAATTCGAAAACTCCATGTTTGGACTTTGTGCCCATGGTCACTTCACCAGGACGTCATAAACTATATATAACAAAACTACTAAATTTTCAACCAATTTGATCGGGATACTATACTTTGACCATAGATTTACCTAAATAAATATAATTTCTTGTAAAGATAGCATACATGTACAAAGAGAACGCGCAATGTTTTTTTTTTCATATAAATTAATTTTACATAAATTAAACTTATAACTTTTCTTAAATAATTCATACCAATAAAGATCTGATTTTAACGTCAATATTTGTAAGATGGTATTTTGAATTTCTTCTTAATTACATTTTCTATAATACCCGTGATGTATTCTTGTTCTTCTGAATCCTCCTCTTTTTCGTTCTTCGCGTCATGACAAACATCTTTCTCCTCGCCTTCCGCGGTGCAAACCTCAGTTTCTCCCTTTGCCAGTTTGTCTACAAAAACAATTTATCAATTTAAAAATCTCTTCGAAATTATTTCTAAAACAAACATTTCACACACACACACACACACACACTTCTGCACGACGCATAATGCGTAAGCATAAGAAAACTGATTGGTCCATATACATGTGCATAAGAAAATAGACCAATCAATTTTCTTATGCTTACGCATTATGCGTTATGCAGAAGTGTGTGCTCCCCGCTTTAATAGCATGCAACAGAATACATATTTATGTAAATTGACGATAACATTATAGTGTTAGATGGTCACAAGAGTTTGCTCCACGTCATATGCTAATCTCGAAGCATTCCGATACGTCACACGTTGCTCTGTGTTTATTAGGACGAAACGATTAAGCGGGGAGCACACCATAAATATTATATATATTTATATAAATAATCCTACTAACCTCGCGCAACTGGCGTTGATCAATTAGCTCGATCCTCCTCCTTACGACGGCGACGAGGGGCGAATGGCGAGGCGCGGACAGGCGTGAGACCGCGCGAGCGAAAGCGTAAAAAAAAAATTCACACTGCCAGACGGATAGGCAAGGCTCGAGGATAAGCCAGGAAGGCGTGGATGGCCCGTGAAGGCAGAAATGGGTACACGGAAACTATATATTATTTAAGCACTCGGATACAGAGCACGCGAAGCACGCGAAATGTTACCGCGAGGACATTCGGATCACGAAGGACGACAAATGACAATCCAGCCGCTGCTGTCGAGCGAGTCACGTTGGCGGGCGAACAATGAAAGCACGCGGGGTCGCTTAGGCGTGAGGCGTGAGATGCGCATGGATTGCGCGTGAGCGGCCGGACCACTGAGGACAAGTTCGGGTGGAGATCGAGCTTGGATGAATAAATTAACACATTTCATGATCTCATTATATATATACCCACACAATTTGCATAATTAAATGATATAATAAAACTAATAAAATGATATAATAAAATAACAATTACATTAAAATTGCTATTTTAATCGCTTTGCGGACATTTTGTTATTAAATATTATAATATAATAAATCGCGCGCGGATATTATAAATTATAATATATTCATGCGGGGTCATGTTACCTTCATGGCGTGATTATCACACCGTGCATGCACGAACGCATCATGCTCGCTTCACGAAGTGATTTTGGCATACGTACCCGAATTTATACGTATTTGTAACGTTTTTGCCATTTTATCTGATATTTAAGTATTATTTTTATATGTAGTGCCATCTTTTACGATCAATATTATAATTCATCATCAATTATATATTAATCGTAAAAGATCGCACTATGTCATCATGTGTGTGTTCAACATGCCATCACGTGTGTGTAATCACTATCCCATCACGTGTGCGTAATCACTGTACCATCACACGTGTAATCACACGTGATGGCATAGTGTGACCTTCTATACGCGCACGTATGCCAAAATCACTTCGTGAAGCGAGCATGATGCGTTCGTGCATGCACGGTGTGATAATCACGCCGTGAAGGTAATATGACCCCGCACGAATTGTTATCTGGGTACAATTCGGCACGACGCACGACTTAGGCATTTTCACATACCACGTACTTCAATATACTGTAGGATACGTTCTCAAAAATGTTTCTGGACGAAACACGTCCGAACACGTTCACGTTTCGATGAGACTCGGTCACTTTTTCACTCTTTCTATATCTTCGATAGCAAGCTACGCTACGTTATGTGGTTATGTACAATTATGTAAGACAGACAGAGAGCGACTATATTTCTATCTCTGTTTACTACCCTACCGCAGCGACTCTCGCGGCCAAGAGACAAACAATTTTTGGCGACTATCTGCGACCTACCCCCACCATAGAAGTGTCCAGACCTGTATGTAAGACCGTGCCGTGTACAACAGCATGTACAGAATGTATGGGGGTAAGTTGCGTTAATTCGGGGTTACAGGAAGACACAGAAAATTATTAATTATTTAACAAAAAACCAAAAACGAAAAAATTAAAAAAAAAATTAAAAATTAAAAACAAAAAGTTAAAAATATTAAAAACAAAAACCATAAAAAAAAACAAAAAATGGGGTGACAATTGACAGCCTTCTTGTGGCCACCCTGGAAACAGATGCTAATTTATCTGGCTAATGTTGGCCGTAAGCGCGCAGCGCTATAATGTTTTGAGCTTCCGTTGCAAATATCTCAAATAATATAAGATATTTCGAAAAACTCATAGAAACATTTTTTGTAGATATTTGTCTGCTCTACAACTTTGATCTCTACAAAAATTTCGAAATTCTTCGTATTTGTGGAGATAAACAAATTTGTTTATAAATTGTTAATAAAAAACATACTTAGGGATAGCGGAAAATGGCGGAATTTGAATATGTTGTTCAGTATATTTTTCTGAACACAATCACGTCATAAAACCTTGTGTTGCAATTTTTTCTAGGTCCAATCGTATTTTGACTTGACTATTGTAGTTTGACGTAGTTTTATCGAAAAATTTATAGATCAAAATGCACTCAAAAAATACAAAAATTTACAAAAGTGTTCCAATTCTAGCATTTTCATGTAGGATTTTGTAGTACTTCTTAAATTCATGTAGAATTTAATAGATTCTGGCAATTATATTTTATAGTTTTTTGTAGTACACTTTTATTTCTTTTTTAATTTTGTAAAAATATTTCCGCCAGGGTATCTACGAGATATATCATGGATATCCATTAGATATCTCATAGATATACAAATCTCTCAATACGAGATCAGAAATATTCATTAGATATCTCATCCAAATGTCCGAGACATGGACATAAGATCAGAAATATCCATTTGATATCCATACCATATCCAGTGGATATTTATGTAGATAACTATTGCATGTTCAGTGGATATTCATTAGATAGGTATCTGCGTAAATATCCATTTAATGTTCTACATATCCATTATATACAAATAGAACCCCATACAGCACATAAAAGTTAAAACCAGATCTCAAAAATATTGCATTGCAATATTATTTCTCTAGATCTAAAAGAAGAGCCGGGTGACCGAAGACCCGTGGATGTCGCGATTTTGCTTTGCCGGGGACCTGCTTATATTTGCCCTCAACCGAAAACTTACGAGTTGGTCTTACTGTTATGTGTCGTTATTTAAGAGATATAGATATTTTGTACATCTATTACATCTATTAGATAATATATTAGATATCCGTAGGAGATATGGACATCATATGGATATGTACCGTAGATATTCAATGGATATCTATTAGATATTTTGTTCTGTGTGTGGGATTATTTCTATATAAAATAAATATATTTATTTGAATTGAAAACATGGATTTACTTGAACCAAGAATAACTTTCTTCCAAACTATATTTCATTTCCTTCGATAAAATTTTATAATATTCTTGAAAGAAGAATAAATCTTCCTGCGCACAAAATGATAAACTTTTCTAAGACTTGTGTTACAAGTATATCTTAAAACTATTATTACTTAACCTGTAACCTGCATGTAACATCTGATTTAATTACATCATTACTATAATTACAGCATAATTATACTAATTACATAAGTATATTAAAAAACAGTTTAACTCCAGAATAAAAAGTATGGGACAAACTTTTTGCAAGTGCAAAAACCAATATTACAATATAGAATTATTGAAAGGAAATGAAATATGCACTTTATTTTAATCAATCCTATTCATCCCTTAATAATCGGGGGCGACCCTTCTTGTAACCTCAGTTCTTAAAATTCTTTTTTTTCTTTAAACAAAGATACTTCTTCTTAAAAGAGGAATATATGGGATGATCGAGAACTCATGATCCTTAGAATACTAATCTATCGCATTCACACTGAGCTACGAGACATCCTCCAGATAAACGAAGCGGTTTCGCGATGCGCGTATATCGCGTAAAGACACACAGATCAGTAGTCTCGCGCTGAGGATATACTTGGCGCGAGACACTACCGTGTCTTTTGATATATAATTTTAAAAATATATTTTATATTGTCTTATAACGAGCACAGTTGTTTATGAAAAATGTTCATGCATTATAAATATACATTTTATATTACCAACTTATCAATACTGACACATTTAAATTACCGATTATATAAATGATATTAAATGTATCAGTATTAAAAAATTGGTATTAAAATGTTTAATGCATGTACATTTTTCATAAAGAACTGTGCTCATTATAAGACAATATACATTATACATTTAAATTACTGATCATATAGATAATATTGTTTACTAACGTAACTTCGTAACTTCGTGTATCCAGTATATATATGAAGAAACCCTAGTAAACACTCCAGGGTAGTTGCTAGGACAAAATCCATTTCCGTAACTCACAATACCGATTTGAAGATGCTGACCATTTTCTACCACGATGAGAGGACCACCGCTGTCGCCCTAAAAATACAATATTAAATAATAAAACGAAAACAGAGATACTTTCAAATTTTATTTATTAAAGCTACTTAAAACGATTTAAAATGATTCATATCGCGCATATTAGAATATTCCACTTATATAATTTAATTTGCAGTGTACTATTATAAATTATAGCTCTATTATTTGTGATTATTTTACCTGACAAGCGTCTCGTCCGAATCCTGCGGCCGTGCAAATGTGCTTGTCGTTAATGCGCCAGTATTGCTTGCATACTTTATTTTCTATAATCGGCAATATAGCGTACTTAAGTCTTATCGTACCTTCGCTGGTCATATGATCTTTTCCCCAACCCATCACAAGAGCATCTCTTTTTGCAAAACTTCCGTCGTAATACGCGAGTTTTATTGGCTGAATAGTCTCTAAAATAGAGCAATATTGTATTAACTAATAGTTTTTTTAAATCAATATTGAGGATATATTGATGATATACATTTGTAATACTTTTTTAGTAATTTAATAGTTTGTGATATTTTTTTTAATATGTATCAAAAATCATAAAAGAAGTTGTACATAGATATACACATTATGATTTTTGATTATTATTAAATCTGCTTTCCACATTTATAAGATTATTTGTTATTCAAATCCTTATTAACTTTCCGCGTATCTTCCATACAATAATTAAATAACGCCAATATATAAATAAGCGCAAAAGGAAAAAAGAAAAGAAATATCAATTTAAATGTACTATTAATGTAATGTACTTACTGGAAAAGGGAATATCTTGTGGCATATAGAGTAAGGCAATATCATTGTAGCCCTTTTCGTATTGCGGATGTATAAACACTTGATTCGTAATTATCGACATACCGGGGCCTCGAAGAAAATCATAGTCAATGCCAGATTTGTCAACGATACCAAACACTACAAGAAATCTTCGTGGGTAGTTCACTACGCAATGACCGGCTGTGAGAACCCATCTTCTAGATAAGACCGTGCCGCCGCATTTGAAGTATTCTCTGTTGTCCAGGAGTCGATGCACCACTGCTATGTACGGATAGTCTCCGAGCTCCGCATAATGTCCGCCCGCTATTCTACCCGAGTCTTCATCTATCATTTAAGAAAAATGTCAGTGTAGAGAAAAGTCAGACGCTCATTGTCATTTCGGTGAAAATACTAAGAACTATGTGCAAAAGTCATACGTGAAATTACATACCTTATTGAAGTCAATTATTTAAATATTACATTATTGTAATCATTAGGTGGCAAATTAACGATGCTACAACGATGCTACAATTTGGATTTTATTACAGAAGAAAACTTTTATTTGATGTAGAAAAAATATAAACTTGCAGCAAATAATAATCAAATTGTACATGTTGATACAATTAAGTAAATTTTTTTAAATGTTTGCTTTTGCTCACCATATTTATACGCGTAAGAAACAACAGTACTGCTGGAATTTTCATTTCTGTTAATTCCAGAGTTTTCGAATGCGAAGTACTGACTTCGAGCGTATTGACAAATTGTCGAACTGAGTACAATACACAGTAATGTCTTCGTACTTAGCAGACTCATGATAGACTGTTCCGCCGTCCCTGCAAATTTTCTATTTATGCAGTTGCGCTAATATATTTAGGCAATAATGACAACTAACGAAATTATTAACGCTTTTGACAACGATTTTGTGAAATGTATTAGAAGTAAAAGTTCCGGAAAGTATACTTCCGGAACAAACAGTATACTGTTTGCAAATACATGTACTGTATTATTGTATAAAAGATAAGCATGTGCACATTATTTTCTATTATTAATAGTTCTATTATTAATAAGTGAAGCGATATTACGTGTCTGTATTAAAGGTATTGTTTATTGTCCGTTGTATTGTCTAAGTGTTGCGGTAAAGATCGGAACTTTTGATTATTAAAATATTGAAATTCGAAACACAAAGCACAAAAAAATTGAGATTTTTTTCCAAAAACTTAAACATTATTAATTAATCTTAATTGACTTACAAATTTTTTTAAATACTATTAATATTGTTCACCTTCGATCGACTATACGAGTATTATCGGTACTCCACAGATGTTAGTTTTGTAATTTTTAGGAAGTGTTTGTTATCCCAACAAAAATCACAGGAATTTATATAACTTTACTTACAATAGACTTATTATTAAACTTATACAATAAAGTAATTATGTCGTAAATACGCACTAGAATTTGAAGAACTGTCGAGAAACTGCCGAGAACTGCCTTTGCAGTCCGAGACTCCTCTCTTTACAGGGCCTTAAAAAGGGTCTTATCACTGTTCTGGAAACTTTTAGTCTAGTGTAAATGATTCAGTTTAAGAGAACTTGGCGCAAGACACTACCGTGTCTCTTGATGTTATCACATTCCTAAAATAAGTATGTGGATGATCATATCTTGTTTTAAGTGTTCTCAATGTTATTACATTTCTAAGATAAATGCGTGGAATATACTCCCTGAATTTCATGTTTTCGCCTGCGGCGGAGCCCCCCCCCCTGCCTACATGTGTACTGTCTAATGCACACATATCAGCAAATTAATTCCCTTAGCACTGACACAAACTATTAGATTTATTAAACTTTTTTGTTCATAAACTGTTTAATAAAGGGCTAAAACCTTCTGAAGGTTACTCAGGAAGATGACCTCTATAATATATATGTAAAGGAGAAAAGAGGGAGTTCATAAGGGTAAATATTTATCAGTAGAATATAATTTAATTTAACAAACAATTATACAATACATCTAGGCACGGTTAGGAATTATGCAAAAACCATAAAATGAATTAGTAGGATTGTGTAAAAACATCTCAACTTACAATTTTACTGACAAAGACCAGAGATTTTGCAAAATTACTGAAATCTCCAAATTGTGTAATTTTTTAAAAACAAGATACAAACGCTCGATAATAGCAAAGCTAAAGGAATGTTAAACGGCCAAAATTCAAACAAAGAAAATTTTAGATGGTAGTTTAAAGTTAACATTAAAAATATGTGATATATATTACATTTACGTTTTGACCTACTTGATTTTTATCAGAACGTTCTAATCGATAAAATTACATTTTAAAATAAATTATGTAAAAAAATAGATATAAAAGATTGAGAGAAACAATGGCTGATGGTCAATTTTAAAAAGTCACTTTATAATAAAATTATCCAAAACCTATAATTATCAAAAACGATTAATTACGGAAATAATACACATCAAGGAACAAATCAATGGAATTAATCTTAACAACGACACCGGAACTATTGGACGAATCGTATTTCGATATTCTTAGCGAAGTTCTTATCCAATACAGTCAGGACAAAAACATAAGATTTAAAAACATTTCTATTATTGCTCTCAGTCTGTCACATAACTTCCCCAGATAGCCAAATACTGTGAGTTTGCTGTCATACAACAATCGTTGATGCAACTAATTTTGACAAACTAGGGACAAGGTGAGACAGCATTGGCCGCATTCAGCGCACAAAACTGTTGCGGGATCGCTCCCTCTCCCAGCGCTGTTTTTCGCTGAATGCTTTGCTGAGTGAGCGGTCGATACCACTCGACATCTGATCCACGTGTATTTTATCTTAAGTGTAAATAACGTGAAATATGGATCCTTTAAATGTATTTTTGCAATTTGTGGCTGACGACGGGCTGAATATGAATATCGTGGGTAATATTATCGATAATTTGATCCAACCGTTGCCCGAGATCGATAACCTAATACACGCTCAGCGTCAAGAGGCAAAGACGCGAAACGCAGAATATTTTGAGTTAACGATTCCGACATACACGGACGATCAATTCAGAGAACATTTTCGAATGACTCGAATAACTTTTGAGGTACGTATAGTTTCTCCTGTAATTATATCCTATATAATATATGTATAATAGATTGATCATGGATTGTATACAATTATTCTTTAACATTTAGGTATTGCTGAACGTAGTTGGAAATCATATACAAAACGATCAACTAAATATCAATATTCCTCTGAATAAAAAGTTATTATTTACTATATGGTTGTTAAGTAAGCCCGAGTCTTTTCTGGCAGTTGGTGATCGGTTTGATATTCCGACAAGTACAGGATATGGTATATTTAAATCAATAATAAGTACTTTAGCAGAATTAATGCCACAGTATGTTCAATGGCCGAACGCTGCACAACAAGCTATTTCATCGCAAGTAAGAATTTCAATAATGTGTGTTTTATTGTATATAAGTTTAATTTCATTAAGATTTATTCTTGTACATAATATTGTAGATATTTGAAGAACGTTCACGCGGCATACAAAATGTTGTGGGGGCAATTGATGGATGCCATATACCAATAAAACAGCCAGTTAGAAATGCGAATGATTATTTCAACAGAAAACAATTTCATTCAATAATATTACAAGGTATAGTATTATACAATAATATTACAAAGTACTATTTTCAAATTTTATGTAGTTCTTCCAAATAAATTATCAATACATTAAGAAAAAAATTTCTTACAGGGGTTTGCGATCATTCTGCACGGTTCATCGATGTATTTATAGGTATGCCAGGAAGGATGCACGATGCACGCGTGTTCAGAAATAGTAGACTATTTCAAATGTTGACAGATAGGGAGAATCCAATTCTCCTTCAGCGCCAACATTTAATTGGAGACTGCGCATATCCGTTAATGTTAAATTTAATGACCCCATTTCGGGATAATGGGCATCTTCCCGCGGCTCACATTCGCTATAATGTCAGACTAAGTTCTATTCGCTCAATCATTGAGCGCGCATTCGGATTACTTAAAGTAAAATTTAGGCGTTTGAAATATTTGGACATTTCCGATCCAGGCTTTGGAAACACAATTATAGCGGCTACATGCATGCTCCACAATTTTATAATTGACAATGGAGAAATAGAAGACTATAATGAAAGGATGAACGATAACGACGATGCTCCTGTAATCGATGTCCATGAGCAAAATGAAGTCCAAGACAGGTTTGGGATGCAGGAAGCAATAGAAAAGAGGAATGCTATTGTAGCTGATTTATAAGTTTGTAACAAAGCAATTTATAAAAATAAAATAAATGTTTATTTTTATGAATATCACTAAGTGAATATACAACCTTATGTTTTAATAGACATACATGTTTTAGAAAAAAATGTGACATAATATGACATGTTATGTTATATCATCATGTGATGTGACATGACATCATGTTTTAGAAAATAAAAAACCTTATTTTTACATTTTTTCTAGTACTTTCTTTAAAAGATCATTTCTCTCCTGTTGAATTTTGTTGTTGTCGTCGATGCTCTTTTTCAATTCGGTCATTATTTCAACTCGCTCTTGTTCCACCAAAAGCAGTTTCTTTCGCAGATCATAAGTCTCTTTCCTTGAAGCCATTTTCCTCTGTTGTCGCTGAGTTGATGGAGTAGTACATTCTGAAGAATTTGGAACAGATCCAAGAACAGATTCAGATTCGCTAAAGGAACGTTCTGCTGCTACACTAGAAAAAGAAGAGCAAGAAGAAGAAGAATGAGAAGAAGAGTAAGAGTTCGTAATATTTTCTTCGAAAAACGAATCCCCTTCGAACGTTGAATCGAAGAAATCTGAAGTATGCATGAAAATCCTCGTGTGTGCTGGTGGCGTGGATATCCTTGTCAGTTGTGTATGACACACATACCTTGTCGATGCGGGAGATGGTGTTCTTACGGGCGGTCTAAGAGTTGGCGGTCTTGTTGATGCTGAAGAAGCAACTAACCTCATCAAAGAAGATGCAGTGGATGTCGATGTAGGAGACAAAATTGTTGACGCATCAAATGATGACTGTATTGCAGTTGTAGCAGAATCTAAAGAAGAAATTGTCGGTCCAAAATTTATTGTCCGATCATCAGAGAATATTTCTTCAAAGATGTCATAATATTCCCATGTTATTCGTCCTTGTCCCGTTGAACTTTTCCGGTTGTTATCCTTTATTGTTCTGAAAGTTTTTTTCAGATTGCGCAACTTTCGGTCCAGTATATCTTCAGTCAAATGCTTATAACCATTTTTGCCCATTTCATTTACGATCTCTGTCCACAGGTTTCTTTTTTTTGTTTTGGGATCACGGAACTTTTCTTTTCTCTCCTTGTACAATTCTAATAATAATTTTGTACCTTTTACTGTCCATTGTTGTTTATTGCCTTCCTCTGTTGTTGAATCAAGCGTATCTATATCATAAAACATATTTTACAATGCAACAAAATGTTGATGACAAAGTTGATTGCAATGCCAAAACCTATAAATATTTTAATCAATTTACTCACTGCTTGCGATGTGTCGACTGCAATTTTCTGTCAAAGTGTCATTAATAGAACCAGTAACGTCCAGACAACCTAGGTTGTTTTTCATATATGACTGGAAGAAAACTTCGTCTGAAACATTTAATTATTACATAATACTATTATATAATTATTACATATAATTATTATATTATTATTATCGCGCATACGCAAGTATGATATGCGCAATAATGCATCCCAACAAACATCAAGTTACATGTAGCTTGGTGTTTGCTGGGCATGTGTAATTTATTTGAGATTATGTAGGTTAGTTATACAATTTAATTTAAAATAATATTTTATTTCTAATTGTACATACCATTTTTCAATTTCTCGTGCACTTCCAATATATCTACAATATTGTAATTTAATCCGTTATATGTATATTGATCTTCGTAATAATCCATTGCAATGCAGCATAGAACATAACCCAAGACAACTCACATGTCTTCACATGTCTCCAGTCAAATCTCACAACAGTTCCGTCGATGTAGCATCAAAATTTTCGCTCTAAAATATGGCGTCCGCTACCGCCACATGTTGTGGGAGCGCTCCCGATCACAGGCCATTCAGCGCATAAATCCGCAACTGTTCTGTGCGCTGAATGCGCCCATTATGTCTGTCGAGTTGAACTCACATGAATTATAATTCTATTTACAGCAAATTAAAAGCAACATGTTCACACGGATTTGTTATCTGTGAAGAGTTGATTTGTGACAGCAACTTGACGACAACTCGTTGTCGTCCACGATTAACAGCATATTCAATGCAATTTGAAGGCAACTTCCCAGGCAGCAGCGTCACGTGATTTTCACGTCGGTTTATGGTCAATCGTTACGTCATGTACCTGTATTTGTAACTACGTGTTCCATTTCGATGTCAGCAAATTTACAGCAAATATATAACAACACATGCAATACATTTGCTCAATATGCTATATCACGCTTGGTTATCTAGGTCTTGGAAGCCAATCCCGAGTTCATTGTCTTTGTTCGGAAATTTCACTAATATCCACTTTTCGTCACTTATATTCAACTTCTTACTCATTTTGATTTAATCACAAAATATAAATAACATAAGAATCACAGCAGGAAAAGTCAACACGTTCACTTTATTCTATTAGTCAGCGTGTTCGGTTTATGTTATTGTAAATATAATCTAATATTTATAAAAGTAAGATTGATCTTCCTTTACATATGTGAAATATGAAAAGGGGTCCTTATAAAATGTATATAGAGGATGGAATTCCTAAATTAACTTATTACTCACGTCTTAAAAAAAAGTAAATAATTACTTTTTGCTGAAGCTTAAAACGCAGATGTAAGTATTTACCACATTTTTATTATATATATAATTTGTTTATTTCAATTGCCTTTCGGCCTTGAAAGGGGGTGCTACATGTCTTTGAGATGCGATTTTTTTTTTACAATACATTTTATATTACATTTCTTTGCTATCAGTTTCATTTTGTATTTGTACGTTTCTTAGGTCCTTCCTGTGCTTGGTCACTTTCCTCATCCAATCTGCTTCTTCTCCTGTATCTTTCAAGATGTCTAAGATATTTCTGTAATCCCTTAGAGGCTCCACGCAGTCAGACATCAAATGCTCTAGCGTTTCCATTTTCTCGCCACATATTCTACATACTCTTTCTTCTTCTTTTCTCCAGTACTTGCTTCCTTCTTCCTCGTTTCCGCATCTATACCTTGCAATCAATCTCTGGTCTCTTCCTTTGTATTCTTTTTGTAGATACCTTGGGATGTGATCTGTTCTCAGCTCTTTGTACCTAGCGCAGTACCTTCCATCCTCTATCCTTTTCTCTTACTCTGCTCTTTGTTCCTTCCGGTCCGTCATTATTAGTTCTTCCATGTTCGTTCTTTCAGAGCTTTCATTTCCTGTATCCCATGTGCTAGAGCTAACTTTTCTATAATATTGGTCCCTGTTTTTTTCCCATTTTGTTTTCTTCCCTTCCTGTTTGTTTTGTATCTCTTTCCAGCACTCCGCGATTATTTTGTTCGTCTGCCTTTCTTTTGTCTTCTCTTTGTACTTCATAGCTCTTTTTCCAGCTTCTATCCTGATTTTGTCAATTTTCGTTTCTTCTCGTATCAGATATGCCGGTGTGTTAAAATCCAGTCCTAAAGTCCATCTTATATATTTTTCTTGCAACTTTTCTACCTTTTCTTCTTCTCTCCATCCCCATATTTCCGCTGCATATAATAGGATGCTTTCCACTAGACTCTTGAACATTTTCATTCTCCTGTCTACACTCTCTCTGAATTTCCTCTGTCCAATACTCCATACTTGTGCCATTGCTATCGCCGCCTTCTTGACTGTTTCTTTTATATGCGTTTCCAGTCCTCCGTTTTTTTGGAAGTAAACCCTAGATATTTAAATTCCTTGACTTCTTCCAGTCTTTCTTCGTTCCATCTTCATTCTTCCTTCTTCTTCCTACCCCTTCCTTTTTTGAAGATCATAACTTTAGATTTTTCAGCGTTAAGTGTCAATTTTTTCTTTTCTAAATACTTTCGGAATCTACTTATCATCTCCTTAAGCTCCTCTGGACTCCTGGCTAACAGCACTATGTCGTCTGCGTAGGCGAGTGTTCATATTTTTTCTCTTCTTATCACTATCCCTCCTGCTTGACCTTTCCTCATCCTTTCTTCCAGATCCGCCGTATAAAGCATGAAGAGCGTTGGACTTAGGGGGCATCCTTGCCTTACTCCTTTGGTTGTCCAAAATCTGCTCGTTGTATGACCGTTTACTCTGACGACATTTCTCGTTTCCTGATAAATCTCACCTATTCTTTTCCTGATCTTCTGGCTGATTCCTGTTCTCTCCATTATCTTATTCAGTTCTTCTCTGTCCACCTTGTCAAATGTTGCGCTTAAATCCGCGAAGAAGGCGTAGATTTTTCCTCCCTTGTTGACTAATTCTCTGTTTGTGATGTAATTCAGAATAAAAATGTTATCTATCGTGCTTCTACCTCGTCTAAATTCTGTCTGCGTTTCTGCGATGATGTTCTTGTCTTCTATTTCGGCCTTTAGTCTTTCTTCGAGTACCATTGCGTATATCTTGTACGCCGAGTTGAGCAGTGTTATTCCTCTATAATTTTTTAAATTTTCCTTATCTCCTTTTTTGAAGATAGGGGCGATCACTCCTTCTTTCCATCTTTTCAGCAGCCCCTCTCCTTTCCATACCCCATTTATAATTTTTTTTAACCTTTGTATTACCTTCCTGCTTCCATTTATCCATACTTCATTTTCCAGTCCATCTTCTCCTGGGGCTTTCTTGTTCTTTAGTTTAGCTATCTGTCTTCGTATTTCCGCTCCAGTTATCTCGTCTTCATTCTCTTCTGGTTCTGTGGTCTCATTTACCCCACTGTTGCTATGTCCTGGAGATTCTGTTCTTTCTAAAAGCTGCATAAAGTAGGCCTTTCATTTGTCCGACTCGATCTTTTTTGTGATTTCTGTTCTTTTCTTTCTGCCTCTATTAATGTATTTCCACGCTTGATTTTCGTTGGTGATTTGCTGTATTTCTTGATCTTCTCTTTCTTGCCATCTTGTTTTCTTCTCTTTGCATTGGTCCTTGTACTTTTTCTTCTTTTTCTCGTAATTATCTTTGCTGTCTTCTCCCTTCCTTCATTGCTTTAATGCCCTTCTTGCTACTCTTTTGAACTCCGTGCACTCCTTATCCCACCATTTGTTAGTTCCTATCCTCCATTTTCTCACCTTGATTGTTTTCTTACTTACTGCTTTGTTTAATTCTCCTATCAGCTCTTCTACCATTTCGTCTATTCCCTGTGCCGTGAAGGATATCTTCTGTTTTTTCTGCGAAGTTTCTTTTGCCCTCTTCTGTCCATACTCTTCTTTCTACGCTTGTCTCTTCTTGTTCGACGTCTGGATTTGCACCATTTTCTGTGAAATAAATGTCTATTCTGATCGGCAGGTAATCTGATTCAATTCTCTCCTCCACCGCAAAGTCCACTATGTCTTCTCTGGCTTCTGCATTAACTATCCCATAATCTATTACCGAGTTGCCACACGCACCTATATACGTCCATTCTCCTGCTTCGTCTCCTTCCATATTTCCGTTTAGTATACTCCATCCTTCTTCTTCTATCAATTCCAACATTGTTCTTCCTTCTGCGTTTTTTATCTTGTCCCTTGATTTCCTTCTGATTTCCCTGTTACTGTTTTCCCAATTTATCGTGCCCTCGTCTCCTATTCTTGCGTTGAAATCTCCGCCAATCAATACTCTTCTGTTTTCTGGACTGTGAATTATCTGCCGTAAGTCTTTTACTGTTTCTTTTATGTTTCTGCTGTATACTGTTAGAATTCTCCACTCTGTGTTGTTTAAAATAACTCTTCTTTTTTGAATGTCTTCCCGCTCGTTCGTTGTTTCTTCTTCCTTGACACCTCTTCTTATCCCTGTTATTATTCCTCCCCTTGCTCTTCCCTTGGTTTTTTCTCGTTTGGCTGCAGTACTTTTCCATATGAATTTGTCCGGTAATTTGTCTTTCAATTTCTCCCATTGTTTTTCGTCGACCCATGTTTCCGTTAGCCCTATGGCGTCGTAATTCTCTATGTGTTTCCAAAATTGCCTGTCCTTGTTAAACAGTCCCGCGACGTTCCAGAAGCCTGCCACGAAGATTTTCCCTCTCTTCTCTTCCTCGTTTGGAAGTTTTGTAACCTCTCGATAGGTGGCATCTGGTGAGTTTTCAATGTCCCTCTCGTCTGTCCTACTCCCGAAATCTGTCTCCGTCGCCCCCGTTCTCGTTTGATGATCCGTTACCTGGTCTTTTCTGAAAATTGTTGCCTTAATCCCTATTTGTTTTTCTTTGCCGTCTTTACCTTCATTTATATTACTTTTGGCTGTTATTGTTTTATAGGTTTGCAAGGTTTTGTCTGTACTGAAAACACTCTCTCAGTCCTTCCTCTTCCTTCCATATAAAAGTCCTTTCGTTTACCATTAGTTTCTTGTATCCTATCTTTACTTGCTCTCCTTGCTCTCTCTTCTTTTTCGCGATTTCTACTATCTCTCTTTGCACGACTCTTTCTTTCTTTGTTAGGTCGTTGTCAATGTACAGTTTTTTACCTTTCAGCTTACTTTTCTTTGCTAGTACATCTTTTTTCTGTTGCCAATTTTTTAATTTAGCTATTAGCATTCTTCCTCGCTGCTCCTTTCTTATCCAATACGCATCCTCCACTTCCACCTCTACCTGCAGTTCGCGTCTCATTATTTGTTCTATCTCTTCCTTGGGTGAGCCTTCTCTCGGTAAGTCCTCTCCTTTCACAATAATATTGTTCTTTCTTTCTCTTCTCTCTCTTGCCTCCTCCCTTTCTTCCAACTGTATCATTCTTGTCATTTTCTTCTTCATTTGTTCTTCTTTGATCTCCATTTCCTTCAGTCTGTTTTCCATTGTCCTTTTTTCCTTCTCCCACTCCTCTTGTTTCTTTTTCCATTCTTCTCTTAAGTCTTGTATTTCTGATCTTATTGCCTTGTTTTCTTTTTTTATCTCTTCTGTATCCTTCTTAATTGTTAGCATGATTTCCGTTAATTTGTCTAGTTTATCCATGTCTACCCCTTTTTCGTTTTCTATATTCATCTCCTCTTGCGTCCTTTCTGCTCCTGATGTTATTCCTGTTCTCTTATTTGGAGGTGATCTGCTCACTGGTTTTGATTTTTCAAACTTTTCGAGTAGTTTCTTCTCTTCTTATCCTATAATATCTTCCCCTTCTTCCCTCTTCCTCTTAAACGATTCAATAATCGATTCACTGTTTGTCCTTTGCCTTCCAAGATGTATTGCGTTGATCGGCCTTCCTTTCTTTTTTGACTCCTTTTGCCTTTCCGTGCCTTTTCCTGTATTGCTCATTAATAGGTCTCTGTCTTTGACCGCTCGGTGGCTCCCCCTTCATTGTTCGCTTTATAGTCGCAGCTTGAGTCTCTCACCTCTCTATATCAGAGGCACCCCTGGGCCGTTAGTGTTCGCTTTTTGGTAGGTTTGCGAACCCGGCAACTGGTTTCCCTTTTTGTTCCTTAACCTCCAAGGTTATCTGAGCATAAGAAACTCCAGAAAAGCGTCTTCCCTGCGATTCTTCTGCTGCTTCCTTCTATCTCCAACTAAAATTGCAATTTTGCGCTTGCATAAAACCTGTAACAAACTCGCCCCAGGGCGATACAGCGGCAGATAAGTTCGGAAATAAGCAGACGCGCTCGGCAGACGTGCTTCTGTTTACTTACTCTCGGACGATCCCCCCTACCACATTTTTATGCAATATAATTTAAAGACTTCACATCTTTTTTTGAAATACATGTCACTTGAGTTAAGGTTGTATGACCCGTAAGATCTCTGCCAAAAGTTTAAGAAACGTAACATAAAGCTAATTAACATATTTAAGAAGATATTCTTTACTGGAAAGTAATATTTATATTAATATTTTATTAAAATAACGGTTGCCTGTGTTTTTAAGAGCTATAGAGACATTTTTATGCATATTTTCTCGTATGCAAACTTTCACTTTTAATGATTTTTAGAAAGACTGTACCTGACTTGCAACTGACACAAACGAAAATCTGAAAGTGTGAAAATCTTTAAAAAGTAACAAAACATAGTAATTACTGTTTAAAAATACTAATGAAATTATATTACGTTATTTATTTACGTCATTTATTAATAAATTAAATACAATAGCTCTCATAAAAAAGTATTTTGATCGCGACAACGTCGCATTTTCTGTAAGTTGGTAGCATTGATCTCACTCGACATCAGCTGCGTGAACGCGAAGTGTGTGCTCTGAGCACGTGTAATATATAGACGCAACGTTTGAGGTTAGTTTTCGCTTGCGCTACGAAAATGCCAAAAGTAAAACGTTACATGTGCCATGGAATTGTTACAATCATCTGGTGTGGTTTTGACTCGTGTCTTCAAATTACGTTTCCCAGTATTTGTCTGTGCTAACCGTTGATTGTACACTTTTTCAGTGACAACTTTTCCTTTCTACATGTAACGTTTTACTTTCGGCATTTTCGTAGCGCAAGCGAAAACTAACCTCAAACGATGCGTCTGTATATTACACGTGCTCAGAGCACACTTTCGATACACAGGAGGCTCTATTGGAAAAAGTAACGGACCTCTGTAGCATTTGTTATCTTTTACGGAGAGTGACGGAGAGAGAGGTTCTAATGTGACGTCATAGTGCGCTGTTGCCGGATCTCTGTACTTACGAGTTCAGCGAGACCAAGCGAGACTGTTCTCTGTTTGGTTTTTATTCAATATTTCAGAAAATATCCTCGAAGTCATAATTTTTTTGGTTCTAATTTGTTTGTAAGATGTTTATTAATATTTCTGCAAAGTTTTAAAAGGATGCCATATTTTCTTCGATATTAATTTCTCAAATGAAGTTGAAAAAACAGTGAAATTTGATGAATTCCCATAAGAGCCCATGTTAAATTCAAATTGTTATAACTTTTGAACGGGCCTCGCAAACTTGTTCAAACTTGGCACAATGCTTTATTATTATAATACTCATCACCTGACAAAGTTTGAAGAATTTGGCATTTTTTCTTCTAAGGGGTCATACAACCTTAAGTTAGGTAATATAATTTTGTGAAGGAAGAAATCAAAGATTTCACATCTTTTTTTTGAAATACATGTCACTTGAGTTAAGTTAGATAATATAATTTTGTGAAAAAAATATAAAGCTACCACTTAGGTTAGATTTTTGAATTTACAAAATACATTGCGTATAGTTGGCACTTTTTTTTACCTTTTTTGAAAAAGGTATGTATGTAACGGCTAACTTTATCGTCGAACGCGGACTAATTCGCCGGATCAGGAGTTTGATTGAAAGGCCCAGAGACAATAATCAATCGTAAGGTACAATAGAAAGCTTTATTCAATTCGATAATTACAGACCATGCGGAACGCGGGTTGATAGCTGGACGCGGTATTTACATAAATCGGTAGTGCATGTGCACTCGGCGCGGTGTACGAGATAACAACGGACGCGGCTTTACAGCAAGGCGCGGGAGTTACATAAATCGGTATTGCCTATGCACTCGGCGCGGTATACGAGATAATAACGGACGCGGCTTTACAGCAGGACGCGGAAATTACATAAATCGGTAGTGCCTGTGCACTCGGCGCGGTATACGAGATAACGAGAGGACGCGGCAAGGGACGCGGTTTTACAGCTGGACGCGGTATTTACATAGATCGGTATCGGTAGTGCATGTGCACTCGGCACGGTATACGAGATAATAACGGAACGCGACTTTACAGAGAATAGTGAAACGCGGTATATTACAATGCTCGGTGTTGCCCGTACATTCGGACGGTAAAACGAAGGCGGGCTTACACTACTCGAGAGACGCGGTGTTTTACCGGGGTGCGTGTGCACCTAGTGCTGTATACCGGCAAGGCTGAGACCGTGGGCGGGAACGCGCTATATGCAACGGAGGATTGCAGGATCCCGGGGTTACGGTCGCGAGAACCCTCGCTACGAGCACGCTCGACCTTGTTGTACCGTGGCCGTCGGGCCGTCGGGAGTAAGTGCGATGGAGTTCGGGGACACCTGAGGACGCTCAGTTGAGGCTCATACTCTGGACCTCGTTTTGTGTGTCGCCTTGGGATCTAAAGGGTAGGGTTCGTCAGGAGCAGCGGAATGCCGTGGTAGAGACGAAGTGCCGTCTCGCCGAGCGCGCCGGCTTATATATCGCTCGGCACGGCGAGTTCGGCAGGAGGAAGGCCGATCGTCAGGCGAATCGCGCGGTGGTGGGAGCGGCGCGATCCCGCGCGCTTGTCTTCGGCGGGGATCGGCTCCCGTCGGCGCTCGTCGGCGTCGTGCGGGAAGGCACCGGTGCGGCGGGTTCCCCGCGCACACGGTGCGTTTCGAACGTTTAAAAAAGATGTGGGCGCACCGCGTCCGCGCCCTGTCTTCGCCCGACGGATGATCGATCGGGTGGCATCCGGCGGGTGGTGGCCGGGAACGATGCCTTAGCGTGAGAGACGCATTGTTACATGTACATACATAACTGTTATGTATATCGATGTTTGCTGGAGTGATTTTGCTTCTAAATGTCGAAATAACTGTGACAATCCTCTTAATTGAATGATGCAATATATTGTACAATTATTTGCGCAATTTTCCTATCTGGGATTTAAAATACGCTCTGCGAGTAAGTAGGGGAGATTGGGGCGAAGTCGTCACTATTTTTTTGGTGCCGATTTTTAACAACAAAACAAATAATTTTAGTAAAATGTGGTGTACCGTTGTAAAGAGTGAACCGTTGGGTACAAAATTTATACGGGCATTTTTGGTCTACGTTGCTTTGTTCAACCGGTATAGAGTAAAAACGACAAAGGTGCAAAAATAGAAATGTCAAAATTGCCGAAGCGGAGTTGTCACACCCCCGAGACGGAGTCGTGTCACTCCATTCTCGGACTGGATTTTAAATGAAAAAACGTAATTCCAATTATGAAAAATAATAGGATACATTTTATTTATGGTAAAAGTTTACAATAACTTACACAGCTCGGATTACTTTGACCTTGACATATGTTGTCAAGGGCATAATACTGAGTAACTTTTCCTTATAACTTATTCGGCGGTCGCTGCTTATTAAAAAGTTATAAACAAAAAAAGTTTGAAAAATATAGCAGCTATTTTGAGTATTGGAAGGCATAAATGACTAATATACAGGGTGTCCGAAAAATCGTCTACTCCACTTCGGGAGGTGATTTGGGACCCAAAAACAGGCAAAAAAGTTCATACAAACATAGGTCCGGAAATGAGCCGTTTCCGAGTTATAGCCACTTTTATGTTCAAAAATCGTAATTTAGAATCCGCTTGGCATCCCTCTTTCTTAATTATTTCTTAAATTAAAAATTTTTATTTTTAAATATTAGCTAATTCATTAAAACTTAAACGATCCATTGATGAATACGGAAAGATTAGATACAACCTAAAAGTAAGGTGTTGTTAAATAATAATTTGAAACTTATTGAAAAACCGTGATTTACTTACTAATTTTGAATAGGCGTGAAAACAACTGATTTCAAGTAGCCGTGAAAACAACTAATTTTGAATTGCGGTGAAAACAACTGATTTCAAATAGCCGTGAAAACAACTGATTTCTTTTAAAAATAATGTAATCGCATTTACAAATATTGAAAAATTGAAAAAAAATTAAAAAATTAAAAATATTTAAAAATAAAAATTTTTAATTTAAGAAATAATTAAGAAAGAAGGATGCCAAGCGGATTCTAAATTACGATTTTTGAACATAAAAGTGACTATAACTCGGAAACGGCTCATTTCCAGACCTATGTTTGTATGAACTTTTTTTGCTTGTTTTTGGGTCCCAAATCACCTCCCGAAGTGGAGTAGGCGATTTTTCGGACACCCTGTATATGTCGAAATAGTTTACGCATACACTTTTCACGCGAACCGAGGTTCACTCACACCCTCCTGCTTTCGGGGGAGGTGCGGTAGCTCCGAAATAGTTTACGCATACACTTTTCACGCGAACCGAGGTTCAACACCCCTCCCCCGCTTTCGGGGGAGGTGCGGTAGC